AAATACCATCCCATGAGGAGCTTCCGAATGACAGCAAACTGTGGACCGGAAGACCCTTAGTGAAAATGTCGGCCCGTTGTTCCAGAGTCGGAATATACTTAGCCCGATGCCCTTCGACTCCCCGATATTGGACCTGAAGAAGTGGTACTCAATGCCAAATACTTGTTGCGCGCAGACATTTGGGAACATTCACAAGAGACAAGCAACCTTGGTTGTCTTCGAACACTGTAGAGCGCACGAGACTGTCAGTAATTACCGGCATATTCAGTTTGCTACCAATTTCTTTGAGCAAAGCTCGCATAGGAAGCAGCTCCCTCATTGACATGCTGAAGGCAACATACTCAGCAGCAGTGGAGCTCAAGGTAATATCAGTCTGTAGCTTGCTGGACCAGATAATAGGGCACCCAAACAGAGTCAGGACAAATCCAGTGCGAGACTTGACGGACACAGGATCCTGTTCATCCTCATATCATACAATCCGGCGAAGTCAGCATCGACCCAACAGTCAAGTCCCTGATCAAGTTTAGGGCTAAAACAAATGCCTTTGTCACTTGTGACCAATCAGAATACCGAATGATACGTTTGATTGCTTGAGCATGGGAATGCCTGGGATTGTGACTGAATCGTGCCACCTGGTGCACACTAAATGTGATGTCTGGGCGAGTTCGACGCAATATAAAGAAGCATCCCAACTGCAGCTGGATAGCTCCACTCTTCTTCAAATGGGGCCCCCAGTTTGTCAGCTCCGAGAGGATGGTGGCGGCAGGAGAAAGTTCTTGCTAGCGTCAGACATACCAGTATATTCGATGACTTTATTGATGAGCCCTTTTTGAGTAAGCTCAACATTGTCTCCCTGTCTTTCAAAATTAATGCCGAGGAATCCAAAGATGTCACCTTTTTCTTCCATGGTGAGGTCATATCCAAGTTTCTGGAGCTGCCCAACATAGGACTCAATCAGATCATTGTCTGGACTGAGCCAGATTTGGTCATCACAATAATTTAATACCATGAGTTGATGCTCCTTATGAATAAACAAACATGGGTCTGCTGCCGAGTTTCGAAACCAAGTTGGATCATCCCGCGACATAGATGCTCATAAAATAATTTAGGTGAATCGGTCTGCCCATAGATGGACTTGTCAAGTTTCAAAACACAGTCCTGTCTTCATAGCCTTTGGGTCGATAGTACTGAGGCAATTCCATGTCAGTGGCTGGTCGACAGGTGAGGGCTTTGACAGAAAGCAAGAGTAAAATCAACTTGTCTCGATTCCCATCCATGTGCAGCTGCAAGAAGAAGACCGGCTCTAACGGTGGGCCAACCAACAATGGAGAGTAGCGACGCCTTCATAGGACTGAAGGTCTCCTCTGCAGCACCATCTAGATTTGAACTTATTTAATTGTCGTCTGGTAACCTCTTAATTCGTTGCACCCATGTTCCAGGAACCGCCTTTAAGTGTGAGGGCATAGAAGAACGCTGTACGATGTGCCAAGTCCCTTTGCCTTCAAGGCTGGCAATTTCTTTGTCCATTGCTGCCCAGAAATGGTCTGCATGTGGTCCCATCAGAGATTCCTTCAGAGAGGGAGATCAGGGTCTTTGGAAATTTTGGCCTTGAGAGCCAGTGGCTTTGAAGAATGCCAGGATGAAATGATTCCTGGGTGTTGGTCAAAGGTGAATAACCATATCACACTGAGATTGCATCATGTGCCCAGAAATTGGAGTAACTCCAAAGGTCAAAGCTAAAGCACAACTCAACAGGGATGAAGGACGCGCATATGTCTTCAACTTTGGGTCCATGTCAGAGTCTCAGGCTCTTGCTGTGTGGCTGTTCTACTGGGATTACGACGAGGGGCAGAGATTGGCTCGATGTGGACATCAGTGGTGGGAGTGCTGATGGTGGGAGGCTCCTGTCCAAGAAGAGGGTAAATTTTGAGTTGAAGTGGTGGCAGACAGATCTGGAATCTCCCTGTGTGAAACTGGGGCTGTGTGGAGACGGAGCTTGAAAATGAAGATCATCCCTTTTATCTTTCTCTTGTCATCCTGCCATAAATTTCTCCCATGTCGAAGCTTCTGAAGATGAGATCGGTGCTGGTTGATGGCCTTTTCCTCTGGAGTAAGCCAATCGTCTGCTAAGGGAGGGGAGTGTCCTCATCAAATAGGGTCTCGAAGCGTGGAAGATGCATCCCACGGTCCATAGGATTGAATGAGGGATGGTTTTCGAATCTGCACCAGAGAAGGACGGCTTGAGTGAGGCTTGGATAATAGAGATAATAGAGATAACAGAGGTGCGATCGATCGATTGATTCGAATAATTAAAACAACTCACCTGTTGACGGCCGAGCTTGGAATTCTCTCCTGAATACCATAGAAATCCAATGAGGGAGAGAAGTCAGCGCTGTACCTTCAATTAACACTCTTGATAATAGGCTTACCTCATTGCGATCCATTCGATTGATCGTTCCAACACCATTCTTGTCGGCCAAGCTTGGATTTCTCTCCTGTTTGCCATAGCAATTCAATGAGGGAGAGAAGTCAGCGCTGCACCTTCAATGATGGACTTGAACGCTACGAGCTGCAGGCAATCAGTTTATCCTTAACCTTAGTATCCACGAATCGATCTAAATCTTTCGCGATACACATGACCGTTGATTCTGCAACTGAAGTGCGGGTACTCTATTTTACACAGTAAACGCCGGCAAATCGATTCCAGAGTGCAACTGAGGGGGTAACCAAAAGGTGCGTCGTCTCATTGAGACGTAATTTCAAGTGCTTCTCAAATAGTGGTAAGATGATTGCTTTCAACCAGCACGTTGGTTTCACGACTGCAAACAGCCAGCCAGTGACCACAAAAGTACATGAAGCGAAGTCCTCGTTTTGACCATTTGGTGCAGTTTGACTACCATGCTCTACATGTACCATGCAACGATAGCAGCAAGCGATCGAGTGACAGTCTATGATGACCTCTTGGCTGCACGTGCAATTCGAAAAGAAAGCACAAGAACTCGAATGCATCTAGCTACTATTTAGCTACAACAGGCAGAGCGTGGTGCCAGCCATCATACGGTAGGCAGAAGGCTCAGCTGGAGGCTGGCGGATCAATCGCTTCCGGAAAACTCTGGGGGGAAAGAAAAGAGGAGGCGAATGTTCGTGCTGATTCCGCTGCATGTGCCCGCTTTCTCCTCGAGTGGTGTTTGCACGTTTGCTGCACCAGTACGAGCCACTGCAGTTTTACCGGTAGTACAGTGTTGGGCCATACGGTAGTGTCCTTTGGTTGGAATACGAACCGAGGTGGCTTGAAGTTCAATGTCGCTTGGTCCCAAGATTTTGGTTCCCAGCCATGCCACAGTGGTCATCCATGACAATGTACAGGCGAGGACAAGTGGAATTTAATTCACCAACTAGATCTACTGGTCAAGTACGGCATCAGTGGCATCAGCCAACTTGAAGGATGCCTTAATCAAGCCGTCGTAGCGTCGTAGCCTTGACGACTTCACCAGAGGTACTAGTGTCATTGTTTGCTTGGCTCTTCACGCGGGAACAGGTGGCAAAAGGTTCCTATTTGTCTACATGATGTACTAGTATGCTCCAGTCTTAGTTCCTCCCTCCTTATTCCTTGGATTCCTTTGAGCTCTCTAGATATTCCAGGAATGCAGGAATTCCTTGACTCCTCCAAGGAGCAGGAATTCCCCCAAGGAATGTTACAATTAGAGCTAGAAGGAGTGTTGAGGGAGTTCCTCCACCAAAGGAATTCCTGCACTGATTCCTTTTACTTTGGTTAAACTAGATGCTATTTTGGCCACAAGTGCCCATAGAACAGCCTCAACAAGAGGCATAGGCACCACCCATTTCAGAGTTGATGGAGGCAATGATGCCTTCTAAGCGTTCCTGGACTTCTTGGCTACAGGAGCTAGAAGCTCCTCTTCATCATCCTCATCATCATCATCCTCATCATTGTCAAGAGCAGCTACAGGAGCCACCACTGGTCATTCCTGTGAATTCCTTTGTTCCAAGGAATTCCTGCGGGAATCATTGATTCCCTCTACGTAAATTCCCTGGCTCCTTGACTAAGGAATGGGCTCTTTTAAATCTCAAGGAATTATGGGGGAATTCCGGGAATAAAGAAATTCCTCCAAGGAGCGAGGAACTAAGGCTCCAGTCATGGTGGCCATGTTGGTAGTGAAACTGCAGCCAATCATGAAAGGATAGGAGGGTTCTCAGCAGTGAGGTACTGCAGTACAGCGCGGTACGTGTCACAGACATTCTGAACCCACTTCATAGCAGTCATCAACCCTTAACACTTTTGCCAAAAGGGATCAGAGTAGCAGGAGGAGGGGTATATGAGTACGAGTAGCTACTAACTACCGGTACTCCTACTTTACTACCAGTACATGTATGTATGTAGTTACCCAGTAGGCAGCTGGATGTCCGTGGAGGGACCGCGGTTAGAAAACATAAATCATAATAGCCAAAGATCGTGGCCATACTTAACAATCAAATGTCCTCACTTCACCTGTCATGTTCAGTGACTCAGTCCCCTTCTTGTTTTCAACCATTTACCATTTGGAGAAGAGAACAGAGAACACACCATAATACCTTTTAGTATTAACGATGGCTTGATGTTGTGCCAACTTGGGAATTAGACTAAAACACTTACAGTAGTCAGTCATGGGGCTGAAAGTGCAGTATCAGTTTTATTGCGAGCAAGCGGTAAATAATAATTATTAAAGAGGGAAAGTCCAGGTCATGAAGCTAGCGAACGAACGAACCCTACATGTACAGTTGTACTACGAACTCTGTACTACAAAATGACCCTTCCAAATCTACTCCTCTAATAATCAATAATCAATCCCTTGTTAGCCTCATAAAATTGACTTACTAGTATCCATCATTCAATCTACCATATTAATAGTCTAACTTGAAAGCTTGCACTTTCAGCACCATGGCCAGCACCAGCACTAGCAACACCAGCAACACACGCCATTATCCCAGACAATAATGATATCATGTTTGACGACGAAGAAGAAGTCGAACAGAGCATGAGCATGAGCAAGAGTTCATCAGCGTCAGCAGGTAATAATAATAAGATGTCCGCGGAAACCCGCCGGCAGAAAAGTCATTCTCGCAAAGTTTCTCTGTTTACCTTCTTGATAATCTCTATTGGCTGTCTGGGCAGTGCCAGCTTTCTGTACGTGGGAATCACGGCGGAACTGGACGACAAGCAGAGCCAATTCGACCGACGGGCCAATGAAGTTGTGCAGGAGTTGCAATCGGCGTGGGGCGATTACGTGGTGGGCGCCTTGTGGGTGCATCAAGCGTGCCATGGTCGTGACGTCACACGCCAGGAATTTCGAGAGCTCTATGAAGCTCTGAACTCGGGAGGTCTCGAGTTTCAAGCGGCGGAATTCATTCCCAATGTGACCAAGGACGAACGTGCAACGATGGAAGCAGAAGACAAGGAGTTCTATGCCCAAAACTACCCTGATCAAGTCACGTTTCATGGCTTGAAAGGGTTCGAACCTGATCCCGAAGGTGGGGTATCCGTCCAGAATCGGTCTCAACAAGACTTCTATTTCCCGGTCCGATTTGTGGAACCTGTCGTACCCAATGCCGCTGCTGCTGGCTTTGACCTGTACAGTTCCGAAAGTCGTAGGGCAACCATTCATCAAGCGCTCGAGACTTGGAAGCCGGCTCTGACTCATCGACTTCAGTTGGTGCAAGAGACGGACCCAAGTGCCTACAGTGTGCTCCTCATGCACCCCGGGGTTCCCTTGACAACGCAGCCGGACCTCAAGCCCCGCGATCTTTCGCTGCTAGTCATTCGAATCCCCGCCCTCTTGGAACGAGCGTACCGAAAGGCATCCCAGTCGTTGGGCATGTACATGTACGATACCACACTATCCCCTCCACAATTTCTGGGTGCCATTAGTGTGGTACACGATGCTGTAGACGGCAATAACACCGTCGAGTTTCTACCCGAGCTGGAACTTCAAGACTTGATCCAACAGTCGCATTCCACCAAAATCAAACGGGAACGAATTGTGGCGGCATCGCACACCTGGGAAATTGTCGTCTTTCCAGTCACAGAACAGTACGAGTCCAACCTGGTTGTGGTTTGGATCACGGGCGTACTCATTGCCGTGGCAGCAGCAGTGCTGGCCCTGGCTCTCTATTACCATAGCATGCGCAGGGCGCATGCCGTCAACCAGATTATTGTTCGGGCAGAAGCGGACGAGGCCATTATTACTGGCTTGTTCCCCTCCAATGTTAGGGACAGACTGGTCCAGGAGGCCGACTGTGCTGCACGGAGCAAGGATTCCTTCGACCTTCAGAGCGTCGAGGACACTGGCAGCACCTTTATGGAAAACAGCAACATTTTTGGAAGTCAACCGATAGCCGATCTTTTCTCTGACAGGTGTGTATGTTTGATTGATACACGTGTCCCCGACCTTTGGTTGCATTGCTCACCAGACTTTCGATCTTTGTCGCGATAGTACCGTTTTCTTCGGGGACCTCGTCAACTTTACTGCATGGAGCAAGGTTCGAGAGCCGGCAGAGGTATTCACGTTGGTACGTACGGCGTCATCTGCATGCAATCCGGGTTGATATTGTGATAGTAAGGGTTGTTGCACGTTCCTCATCATTTCGCTTGTCATCTATCATCCTGTACGGTACCGTATACTATAGTTGGAGACTGTATACTACGAATTTGACCGCATTGCCAAGCGCAGATTCGTGTTCAAAGGTCCGTCGTTTGTCGGCTCGTTGGCTTCGTTACACCTTTACCAAAGCAGCTATCCTGACCCAAAGGACTACTTTGCTTTGCTTCATGCCGGTAGTGGAGACAGTCGGAGATTGCTACGTTGCCTGCACCGGTAAGTATCTTTCCTCTCCCGCTTTTTGGCATCATCAAGTCCAACTTGGTCCTCATTTACATTCATGTCTTCCCCCCGATGGTTGCTTGCTTTCATCTATCTGGATACAGGTGTGCCAAGTAAGTAATGATCTCAAAGGATTGCTTTCTTTGCAGGCCATGTGCATGGATCCCAACCAATTGCTAACATAACTCCACCATGCACACACCATACAGAGCCCAAAAAAGAACACGCAATCAACATGGCAAAATTTGCTGCTGACGTTCTGATTCGAATGCCTCAGGTGACTCAACGCTTGGCAGAAACACTTGGCCCTGGTACTTCGACCTTGTCGGTGCGTATTGGCATTCACTCCGGGCCAGTTACAGCGGGTGAGTAGACTATACGTGTATTGCTTATAACGAACGAACGGGGTCTGCAACCTTGTGCACGGTTGTTCAACCAGCGCTGTCTCACATTGACTGTTTGTTTCAGGCGTTTTGAGAGGTGACAAAGGACGCTTCCAACTGTTTGGGGACACAATGAACACTGGTAAGTCCGATCGATGATACACCGGATTCCCGGCAAGGCAGAACTGCGTGGATCGCCACCGAGGAGGACTGGCAAGAATCAAGAACTCAACCTCGATTCTTTGCTGCGTCTGTATACATACAGCTTCGCGGATTGAGAGCACCGGAGAGGCGGGGCGTGCGCAGTGTTCGGAGAGTTTTGCAGATCTGCTTCGGCAGAGTGGAAGGGGAGCCTGGCTTGAACCAAGGAAGGATCGTGTGCAGGCAAAAGGCCTAGGGGAGGTAAAGACATGGTGGCTGAAGCCGTCAGAGGTTGCCGGGGTGTCGTCAGACAAAAAATCAGTTCACGAAACAGCTGAAGTGTGAGCACCTCATTGCGCTCTTTGGAATGCACTTTAGAAGCACGGGAAAACTAGATGCCGTCACCATGCATGGATTCAGCAAAACACGACGGTATACATCTTCGGGCAGGAGTTCCATTCGTTCAGCACCCCCTTTGAATAGTACAAACGGAGATACTTTTAGAAAGAGACTGCATGATTGAACGAGATCGACTTCGGCGATCCGTTTTGCAAAGGGAAGTCTCTCGTTACATAGTTTCATTTACATTGCGTACTTTTCAATCAGCACAACCATGGAACGATGCTGCATACTGGTGCTCCAAGACCCTGAGCAGTGGGTGGGGTACCATGGAAATCTTTGCCCAGATGTTTATCCATGACGAGCTTCGTTTGACGGAGGCTTCGTTCACCACACACAATATGTGATGTTTTTCTTCCGCGTCAATGCCCATAGCCGTGGCCCCAATTGCATGGCCATCGAGCCAGAAGTGTTGTACGAGCTAGCTAGGACGATGTGAGGACCCCGAGAAATCGGATTGCAACTACATGACGGCTACATGACGGCCATCGCGTGCCCCGTGCTAGCTCGTGGAGACCGAGATGAGGACGGCATAACGAAGGTAGCTAGTTTTGAGCTCCTGCCCCTGGGGCTTTTGCGAGGATGGCTGGCACGAGGAGCGATGACGAGAATATGAACCCCAAAAGGCAATTGCTGCTGTACAAGCGTCCCTTCGTTGGGTGGTTGCCTCGCCGCCTGAGACTCGACTCGACTCGACCCGTGCGCCTCGGTACTAGTCTCACAGGTTGGCCAGGACTACGAAACGATCTAGCTACAGATGATTCGATTCATTCGTGATTCTTTAGGTGCATGCTCAGGGCGCTCTTATGAAAGTTATAAAGCTGGTGTCTATACTTCTACCCCCGTTGTGCTTCGTTGCTCGATCTGGTGAGGCTTGCGTCTGAGGGCTTGCTTAGGTCTGGTCTCCAGACAAACAGGCCAAGAGAACACCGGAGTCCGTGCCGCGGTCTTGCTGGACACCATGGCAACCCAGCCCAATCGCACCCATAGCAGTAACCTTCCAGCTGCTCCTGAGCCGCTCAGGGGCAGTTGCCTTTGGGGGCAGCATGTGGCTCTCTGAGGTCAGGTTGCTAGCACATAGTTACCTAGTTGCTTCAGCTGGTCTGAGGCTTGATTTCTTCACCCTGCTCTTCTACAAGCTAGCATCGTACCGGTACGGCAGCTCAAGCGGCTTCTGCATGCTGCTGCTTTGTACCAGTAGTAGCAAGTGGCCTGACAACCTTCTTGGTAGCGGCAGTGGTACCGGTACCTGTACGGACAGATCTAGTGGGTAGCTTAGCTTGCTGTTTGCTCGACATTGCGGGACTACTGATCCACCTGGTGGTTTCTTCTTTGCTAGCCTTTTGACTTCGTCGTGCGGGAGGACTTGGTGGAACGCTGGCGGCGGCCGTTGCAGTTCTACTACTGGTATGCGGCTGCCATCGACAACTGTGCGAAGACGACAAACTCATCTCTCCTTCTTTCTTAAGTTGAACCTCAAAGCCCCGGCCTCGCGCATTGTCCACCACTATCGTCAAGTCTGCGGATGATGAGACCAACAGTTGGGGAAACTGATGCAAGAGAAAGGCACCCGTTGCGCTCATCGTGGTGATCTTGTTTCCTTTTCTTTACTTTACGGTACTCTAGCTAGGCACAGCTAAAGGGACGAACTGTTTTGGAAAGTGGTGCTAGAATAATGAGCGTCGTTGCCCACCATGATTTCTCCGTGCGAATCAAAAGTCACAATGCCTGTGGTGCAGGCTGCCCTGGTCATATATTTGATAAACAAAAAACACTCCGTTTAAAGGAGCAAGACTGCAAACGAATACCGGAGCCTTCTTTTGTTGACAATGACATTTTGGCTTCTCCAATTCGTTTCGCAATTCAAAAGTGTTTTAAGTAGTCAAGACTCCGTAATGTCAACGTTTTGTTAAAACGTATTGTTAAAACGTTTTGTGGTGAACTGTCGAGATAGTAAAGACAGGCCCCTCAACCCTCAACTCGGAAGATTTGATTCAGTCTGCGTTCCCCTCAGGGACATGATGAATAATGTCTGGTCTTCTTTGAAAAATTCCTGGATTTAAGGGGTTCCATGTGGCATCAATTGACATTTGTTTCAGGGGCATCACGATGCAACTTTGTGTCTTTGTCCAAACCAGAGAACATCAGCGCACGTTCAAATAGTGCAAAAGGTGAGAAAGTAAATGACGCACATTGAGAGCCTGAGAGAACAGAATCTTGGAAGCTCCTCCACACCAGGAAGTCCCCCGATTGGCGATCGTGGAAGTCGCAAAAGCCGTTAAAGTCGCGCAAGTCGTGCAAGTCGCGATTTAAGTCGTTCCAAGTCGCGCAAAGTCGCATCAAGTCGCGCAAATCGCGATTAAAGTCGTTCCAAGTCGCGATTTTTCACTAGTAAAAAGCAAGTAAAGTCGCACCAAGTCGCGCTAGTCGCGAAAGTCGTGCTTCAAGTCGCGATTTAAGGCTTCAAGTCGCGATTTAAAATCGCGACTTAGAAACCGCGACTAGCGCGACTTGGCTTTCTAGTCGCGAAAGTGATGTCATCGGGGGACTTCCAGAAAGTGTGCTGTGCGGCATAGCGACTGACAGCGGTAACCGATACTCGAGTACAGCCAGTAGCTTAGCCAGTTGTCTGTGGTCAGTAGTTACGGGTGCAGCTGGCTGGCATCAAACCATTTCAGTTGCAACTGGAGCGGAATGGTTGGAGGCCGTCGGGACCATTGGGACATCAACAGCTCATCAACACTACGAGTATGTCTTCTCAAACTTTTTACCATACCAGGTGCAAAAAGTAAGTTTGCTCCGTGTCATTCCATTCCAGGCCTCAGCCTGCTATCCCTTCGATGAATTCCCTGCCTCCCAGACTTCCCCCTGCTTTCCTTCCAAGTCAAAAAAGGAAGCCTTGAAGGAGAGGAATATGAGGCAAAGGAATGCAGGCTTGAAAATGGGACCCTTGAAAGGAGTGGGGAACGGAAACGCAGGAATAGCAGACTGAGTTGCAGGCTGCAGGCTGCTTCCCCTTGCTCTAATGACGCACCAAAAGAGATTCTTGGATGTTCGTGTGCCCAAAAAGGTGTGTGTGAAGTGTACAATGTGAACTGTGAAGCATTGCGAGTCACTCCAAGCTCTTGGTACTCCTTGTATGTTCCTCCCTTGAACTTTCCTCCTTTTCTCTACCACCAAAAAGGAGGGGAATGGAGGAATTCCCCAACTCCTTGAGAGCAGGAATGACTGACTAGTCATGAAGTGACTGTGAGTCATGAATCATACTAGCCACACGCTCAGTTTTACGTATCCCCAGGTTGCTGTAAACTTCAAATTGTGTGCCCACTTTGGTTCGCTTCAACAGAAACAGGGAGACTCTTAGATTTTTGGGCCCGAAGAAGTTCTGGGTCTTTTGGGAATGGAGTCAACTCAAACCAGTACATACATGTACAATCCTCCGTTGCTGCTGTAAATTCATTGCAACAGGACTTGGTTATAAGAGCCGTTATAAGTTTGTTCGGGAGCGAAATGCGGTATTCAAGTACATGTAGTGGTAAATGGTAAATAATTGTCGTCAAGCAAATAAATACTGCAGATGAAGTGGCGTGCTGGAGAAAATTAATGTCAAACCAGTTTTTCGTAATTAAGGAGGTACCACCCGCTTTTACTCCCGAGTTTGTTTTGGTCAGTCCACAGTGGATACGTAAAATAGACATCCATGTTGAAGTGTACTCCATGGCCACGTACTTTCCCTCATGCGATTGTAGCTAGTTTGCCGCCAGATGGAATCCTTCTTTTGTGGAATTCTTTATTTTAGCTGGCGACCATGGCCAATTTGTTCTCCATAAAGTAAACAACGGCAAGAATGGATGATGCTCAGGAGAGGAGGAACTGAAACCTCTACAGACAACACACAGATTGTAACTCCGGACAGTGGTAGGAGGAGATGATTCAACTCCGTGTATTGAGAGAAAGTCGCCGTCAGATGAGGACGATTAAACCAATTTTGCCTTGTTTTCCATCAAGTGAGAACAAGCAACAAGCAACTATCAGAGAGAAATCAACAAGTAGCAGCAGGCAACAGGAAGGACATAACATCGAAGTTGCCTCGCTGGGACCATTCCAAGTTGAACATGGGAGCACCGAAGAGGAGGGAACAGCCTCAACCCGATAAAATGTGGGTTGGATCAATGGGATCAAGTGGTGAGTGTGAGAACAAACTGTCTGCCTTATGTTAACTGGTACCACACCACATGGTATGGCTGGAACAGCAAAGATATAGAGAATCTTGGTGGATACCGGTGAGACACAGGCCATAAATATGGAACCAGGGAACCCCCATATGGCCCATATGAAGGTTTTGACACCTGTATCACCCAGATGGCCATGAGGCGAGCTATCTACTCAAATCAGGTGACCTGCAGGAGGATCCAGGAGCACTCAGTGTGGCTCAGAGTGCTCATAATCCTGCATAACACCCAATTATTTGGATGCAGCTTTTGCTCATAGTCCTAAGAATGTAAGTGTATGAATATATACCATCTCCATAGACCTGAAGCTCCCTTGTTCCTTTGCAGTAGATTACCCATAAAAACCTGTTGAGGCTGTGCAGTAGGCATGAAGAGGTGAAGCTGACAGCGCTTGCTAGGCTGCCCAGCATCGTGATAGAATAACATCTGTACCAG